GTTAAACCACTATCCCTTTTATTTTACACATATACTTATTTCTTTCGATTTTAAACCTTATATAGGTACAATCACTGGTCCCGAGAAAACTATCGAGATACGGGAAGTTAGGGAGAGTTACGTTCGTTCGTAAGATGTCGGTGTTTCTCTAATAGACATTTCCAACTAAGAGCGCCACGAGCTCGGACTCGTACTCTGTACTTCGATATCTAAGGGGCCGTATAAAAAGTGTTTTGAAAGGTTTATAAAGCTCTATTTTAAATATGGCATATCTTAACTAAAAAAGAAAATCAAGAGATTAAACAAAGATTAAGATAATATTTGCTATCTAAATTCAAAATATTACCGCCAATTTTGAACCCAATTATCATCCCCATATTTCTATACATGTCGGTTAAATTGACTTTAAACTGTTTTTGAAATATTTTTATCTGAGTCGGAAATAATCGGCTATTGTTTTAAATCTCGGATTTCTATGTAACGCGATTGATTGAAATTGTGTTATTTAGAGGAAAGTCCTATCTTTATATAAAGTAACAAAACAAAGAGGAAGATCATTTTAATTTTAGTTAGTCTTAACTTATGAAAAATAAGCCATATTATGACTTTAAATGCTACATGTACATACTACGTTGCTTCATCTAGGAAACAGTGTTTTTGTTGTTTGTAAATAAATCAAATTTTTACACGCCCCCTAAAAATTTTGAAACAACCGTCAGAGTCAGTGCACGAGTACGGTCTCGAGATCGCGAAATCTGGAAATGTCTATTATAGCGCATTAGTTAGAGTGTCTTCATTAGAGTCGCGCGTTAAGGACTTGTTCCTTACGTCACAAGTTCGAATCCCATTGTGGGACGTAGAGACCTGTCCATATGAGACTGTATAAACAGAGGTCCCCTGTAAAATTGCTCAGTGACCGTAAGTGCCGAATAAAGGAGAAAATATGCTGATCTCCGCAGGCAAGTAGTGGCGTATCCAAATGCATAAAAAATCTCGAGAGGGACGTCAAAGGCGTTTTAACGGGGGGGGGGGGGTCTTACCCCCTCCCCACTTTTTCAAATATATACATAATATAGGCATTAAAAATTTAGGTTTATCTATTTTTTTTGTTTTAACCCTGTCCAACTTTCAATCTGCTTCCGATGCCTATTGACATTAAACAACATCCATACATACAAACAAACAATATCAAGTACACGAACCGTTTGCCAATCAAATGAGAAGTTAGCCTCGGTTTTTGTTAAATCCTCCCTCGCCCTAGAGTTAAGGATATATATATATATATATATATATATATATATATATATATATATATATATATATATATATATATATATATATATATATATATATATATATATATATATATATATATATATATAGCACTAAAAATGACCAACGACACGAACAATAAAAATTGTCAAATTTTCGGGACGCCCTGTCCCTTCCTCAGGACAAAGAAAAAAGTTAGAAAGTCATAAGAACAAAGGAAAAAGAGAAACAAGAACAACTAGCACTACTACTAAACTACTAAACACTAGATATTTACATACTTAATTACATGATGCACAGATTGAAGTCATTCCGCCCTAATGGTATTAACAAACTGAATGACTTCACCAGAATGAACGTAAACTAGACCCAATTCCTGATGATACTAAACAAGATTATTCTCTCAATTTAGTGTAAATTCTACAGTTAATTTGCGTCACCAACTCTCGAACAACTCTCATAACTATGTATTGCTTACACCTTTGTTAATTATTTTTTCCCGGTAATAAGTCCCTAAATATTTCAAAATTTATAATTGATCATAATTCATATGTTTAAATATCCCTGCTACATTATTTTTCTTCGATTATTCTTTATTAAGTAAAGTTACGCCATTTTGAGAGAATGAAACAATGTACGATTTACTGATTGTCGTAATTAATTAGCATAATTAATTCGTTCAATTATGTAAATCGCACTTCGCCCGAGTATACCCGATAGACCGGACGCATTTCATAGCGGTCCGGATTTCTTTCTTTATTAGTGTTTTTAAAAATTCCAATTCATCATGTAATTAAGTATGTAAATATCTAGTGTTTAGTAGTTTAGTAGTAGTGCTAGTTGTTCTTGTTTCTCTTTTTCCTTTGTTCTTATGACTTTCTAACTTTTTTCTTTGTCCTGAGGAAGGGACAGGGCGTCCCGAAAATTTGACAATTTTTATTGTTCGTGTCGTTGGTCATTTTTAGTGCTTTATATAAATTTCCATCCGTGACCTTGTATCTACTTGGTAGATCCGACATTTAGGATATACAGTGTTGTTGGTTTTTTAGTGCTTTTTATATATATATATATATATATATATATATATATATATATATATATATATATATATATATATATATATATATATATATATATATATATTAAGTAAAGTAAAGTAAACATTTTGCCTGATGATTATTTTGGTAGAATTTTTGCAATGAGATACATGTAATAAGCATAGTACTCATCCACTGAATTCTTTTTAATATGTAGTTCAAATAAAACCAATGCATGTACAATGTATGATTTAATTTGTCGCTTTGACAAGGTGTCAAAGACCTATAATTTTTTTATAAACAGGATGATGTCAACATATGATCTGCAGGGCCCAAGAAAGCAGTTTTCATTTTGGCGGGATGAGGGGGTCAATGGTCATACATTGTCAGTTGGGGGGAATTAAACTTCCAGAACTAATTAGTAGAGTATTTTCAAAAAGCGAATAAATAAATCTATGTAGAAAATGTCAGTCTGATTAATGAGAGTCAAACAGCTTTCAAAAAGGGTAATCTACTTCTGATAATATATTGATTTTGCATTTTCTGTCCCTAAATTTATATATAGCAAAAAGGGGTTATATGTTCATCGATTTTAAACAGGGTTTTGATACTGTATGGAGAGGCGGTCTTGATACACATTATTTTCAAATGGTGTTAGAAAGAAGTGTTTCGACTATATAAGAAATATGTATGCAGACATAAAATTAAGAATCAATGTGAATGGTGTTTATGTTCTCTTTCGCTTCTTTTGTCCGAACCTAAATCATTACCTGTTCTAATATAAAAAATAAAATAAAACAAACACAGAATATAGGATAAGACATAGTTAACTGTTTATTAAAGCCAAAGTTATACAAATATATAATCAGCGTCCAAATGTGTCAATGTTGGAGGATTCCTAATTGATTACGTTCCAAAGTCTGCTGTTGATAGATGAAATCGGTAACATCCTGATTGATAGAGGTTTAATGGATGGCAATATTCAAAAAAACTTCATTCAATATCTGAAAAATACATCCAAAAATTGAAGCCGGAAAAAGAATTTAACAAAAAAATACTTGAAAGTTGTAAGCTAACTTTTATCGATGGATAACTCGCGAGTGATTACAATAACAGAAAGAAATGTTAACGGTTGAAAGAATTTTTCTTAAGAGATTGAAGATTACTTACCATTTTTATCTAACTGTTTATATTATTCTGATGATACAGTTATTTTGACTGAAACCACAAACGTTTTACAACATGTATTAAATGAATTTTCTGTATATTGCAAAACATGGAAACCCCATGTGAATGTTAAGAAAACAAAAAATGAATCTTTTTTTTCAAAAGGAAATTCACCCAAACAGATATTAAAATACAACAGCGATGTTTTAGAAATTTTAAATGATTTCAATTACTTACGTAAAGTATCCTCAAAATCAGGGTCATTTTCGAAGGCGAAGAAACACCTATGTAATCAAGCACAAAAGGCAATGTACGGCAGTATTAGAAAAGTTCGTTTATATAATTTATATCTGTACTAGCTGTCAACTAGTTCTGTTTGATAAAGTTGTTGTTGCTGTTTTGATTAAGGATGTGAATTATGGGGACTTGAAAATATTGATATAATTGAATGTCCACATTTAAGACTTTTAAAATACATTTAAACTTCAAATCTAGTACACCGAGTTTTATGGTATACGGGGAAACTTGACGTTACCCGATGTATGTGCGCATTTATACAAGAATAGTTATCTTTCTTGGGAAAAATCTATGCATCGAAATTGAATAAGATCTGTAGAATAACTTATTTACATTTTTCATAATAATACACCAAGAATGGAATAAGTTATCTATGGATATCTTTCATACAAAATATTCCTAATACAAAGAGGCTCTGTAATATTTGGACTAATCAAAATTTTCATAGTGTTAAATGGATTGCAGCTGCAATAAACCAAAAGCTTAAAGACCGGTTTTTACAGAAATGGTATAGTGACGTGAATACTTTTAGTAAAGTTATTAGACATAAAATTTTTAAAGCAAAGTTTGAATGTAAAAAATACTTATTTTTTTACCAAGAAAATTTAGAAATATGTTTTTTTCAAATTCAGAACAAGTAACCATCGTCTTCCAAAAGAGATGCGTAGATGGAATAATGTTGAAAGGAATGAAATAGTGTGCAATTTATGTTATAATAAACAGAGAGAAGACGAATTTTATTATTTACTTGAATGTAATGCATTATGTAGTATTCGAAAAAATTTTTTTCTTGTTGTTGTTGCAGAAGTACTATGGACATCCAAATATAATAACATTCTGTTATTTGATGACAAGTACTGATCATGCGTTTTTACGAAAATTGTGCATATTTATTTTCAAATTTTTAGTCACTGTATGCCCCCTGTAATTAATTTCTGCTCGTCCATTATTATTCCAAATGTGTATATATGTACTTCTTGTACCCTGTATATGGTTTTTGAAAGAAATAAATGAATGAATGAATGAACAAAAACTTCTTGATAAAAAGGCACTAGCTATTATTATTTAGGAGTCACAAACATATTTTATCATTTTCTTTAGTATTCTGTAATATCTGCAAAATAATTGAATGGGAAAGGGGGCTACCCGGTTCCTGTGGCATTGATTTATATAATTGTATTCTCTTGAATAATTGTATATTTTGTAACGATTTTATCACACTTACAGGTAATTTCACAGTACCATTTTCCTGTTCATGAAGTCACTTCCTGTCCTAAAAACCGATCGGAGTGGTACACAGCTGGAGCCCGACTTAACTGTTCTAATGATGAAAACAACACACTACAGTATCTGTGCATTCCAAACATGAAAATAACAACTCTGCTCGAGTTTTGTTATGACAGAACAATGGAATTTAACGAAAAAGGTTTAGACTACGAGTACAATTTACTACGATTCATTTTGTATTTCTGGAACAGGAATGCCATTTCTTTAGTAATTGCAAAGCCAGAGAAATGCATTGATAAGTTTGAACAGAATAGCCTCATGGGATCAAATAAAAGGAACCCATGTTTATCTTAGGGGACTATAAAATATGTGGTACAGTATTTAGAATACTTTGTCAAAGCTTTCAGTCGACGAAAACGGAATGCTGTAATGTATAAGATGCTAAATCAATTATTTTTCTATAAAAATAACCATATTATAACTTTTTCTTAACTTAAAAAATCATATCTTACTATTTGATTGATTGATTAATGTTTTACTCCGATTTGGCAATATTCAGCGATATATCGGCAGAAAATATCCAAGAATAAAAGTAAATACATAATGATGGAGAGAAAATTTCGGACAAAATTTTGATTTTCATAAATGTTAAAACTTTTTTTTCTATTTCAATCGTAAAGTTAAGATTCTATATCTATTGTATAATTGAATGAAATGCAATGACAAAATGACAAAACATGAAGGAAAACTATTCCAGACAACATATCTCAGTAAATCGATTCTTGACTTCATACAATTTTGATACTTGCAGAATAAGGGCAACAGAAGTAAACTGAGGCCAGGTTATTAAAAAGATAGTGTAAAGATCTTTAATTGAGCTTTTTGTAATATTATATTGAAAAGGGTAAATATTAGAAATTTGGCAAAGGAAATTCTGATCCAAATAAAAAATACCCAAGTTTCATGGTCCAAGCTCTGATAGTTGATTTTAATTCAGCAATAGATATCCATTCCTCTTGAAATTCATTAACTTCTGTTGCTTGTAATATATTTTGATCAAAGTGTGAAAAACTGAGGTATTTTCCGATAAAAATGCTCAAGAGCCACTAGTATGAAGTGTAGGTAATTCACCTAGTTATGTGAAAGTTAATAATAACAATATAATCATAGGTGACTTATGTTAAAAAAAAGGGTGTTTTTTTATCAGTGGATTTTTTTCACAATCAGAGTTAACGTCATCACTAACATAACATAAGGAGATTAGTGTTGTTTAACTGTTTTCACGCTTGAAAGAGGACATACTAGATTTACAATGTCAATCCATGAGAGATAACCTACTCTTCTATAATATCAAGGAACCCTCTCCCGATGAAACCAAGGATTGTGTTAGTATTATTCAAGACATTTGTAGTTCTGCATTGGGAATCGAGGGAAAAGTCGACATCAAGAGGGTGCACAGAATCGGAAGAAAGGAAACTGGTAAGATACTGCCTGTTGTTGTAAAATTCACAAGATTTCCACAGAAAGAACTTATCCGTAAAATGCATTTAAATTGAAAGAAACAGAATTATCAATTTCGGAGCAATTCCCTAGATAAATTTAAGAAAGAAGAAAAAACTACTACCCGTGTTAACAAAAGCAAAGGACGACAAGAAGGCATCTTTAGTTAAAGACAAGCTTTACATTCGTGGGAGGCTCTACAGACAGGATCAAGCGATGGACATAGCAGAACACAAGGGACCGCAGCCAAGTTAGGGGGGTCCGAAGAATGATCATCCCCTAAAGATAATCGGATGGAACATTAATGGTAGTTTTGAAAATAAATGAAATTCCTTAAAACATTTTTCATGTACATATGATATTATATGTTTATTCGAATGTTGGTTACAAAAAGATTTCTCTCTGGATGTGGAAGATTTTCACACATACGTTTTTCCACGAGATTCAAGATCTATTCAAGGAGGGGGAACAGTTATTTTGATAAAAGATACATCTGTACCATATGTCTCAATTGTTCATTCTTTATATGATGCTTTAATTTTGTTGAAAATTGACAAATCTCTGTTTGATTACAACAATGATATCTATTGCGCATTTACATACTTACCTCCTATTAAATCTACTTTTTTGAAAAGCAACAATTGTGATATATTTAATGAATTAGAAAATTTTTGTGTGTAGTTTCCAAGATCTGGGTGATGTTTTTATCATTGAAGATTTAAATAATAGGACACGATCACTGCCAGACTTTAAAGAAGATGATGTAGTTCATGAGAACATTGAGGATAATTTATTTACCTACACAGCTGATAGTCAGTTACCTGTTAGTGTGAACCCTGACACCGGTCAAAATGAATATGGAACAAGACTATTGTCGTTATGTAAGACCACGGGACTCCGAATTGTCAATGAAAAACACAAAGGCGATCACGCAAATTATTTCACCTTTAACGGGACACAGTACAATCGATTATTTGCTATCTCCTGTACATAATTATGTTTGATCTCTTTGTTATATTCATTGTTTGTAATTTTAATGCTTTTTCTGATCATGCACCACAGCACATAGAATTGCACACTAAGATGAAAGATCACCAATACCGAAGTTTTAAATCAACACAAATTTAAAAATTGTTTCAACATTGACAATATATGTCACAGTATACAACGGGTATCGCGGGGGAGTCGCTAAAAAGTATGGTAGCAATACTACCAATTGCTACCTTCCGTGGGCTATTTCTTTTTGTAAATACATCTTACATATACCGAAGAAAGATGTGATCCACATCTCGTCTGACTCCAAAGCGGTGAAAATCGACTCCCCTTACGCTGAAACCGACTCCCCCATACTTTTTAGCGACTCACCCGTGTTACCCGTTGTATACGGTGTATCTGCTTACAAGATTTATTCAAGTTCAATGGTGGTTCTCAGGTACCGAGCCATTTTAAATATATTGTATAACATATTTAGGCTCCGTCCCCTAATGCCAACATATCATAACTTTAAATTTTCACAGATCTCTAAATTCTTGATATCACTACTTTGGGCTTTTTACTGTTATCATGAAATATTTTTTGAATTAAAAATATCAGATATACTGAAAAAAAAAACCGTTTTGACTGTTTCTTATGTCTGATACAAAAATATCCTTTACTTTTTAACAGGAAATTGTCTCCTTCTGTATCCCCCTGGAAATCTAACACAGGTTAGCTGCACGAAGTTTAGAGTTGGATGTCCTGAACAAGACTATCTTAGCAGTGATATATTTAATTGTAAGTAGCGATATGACAAGTGTTTTCTTTTAAATGGAAAACATTTTCTGTGTATGTTATTATTGATTTCATTTCAGTTATAGTGATTTATGAAAAGAATGACTGCATTTAAGCTATGAGAGATGGATCCCGATGTTTTGCGCAAAATAAAATTCCAAAATTCATTAAATTTATGTTTTATAGAGATTTAACAATGTCTAAAGAACAGGTTTTGGATTATTATATTACATGAAATTATAAACAATGCCGAGCAACACTTGCTTTTTAGACGGGGTCTAACAGTTTTGTCACATTTCTATTGTTATTCATATGCTTACTAGTATTAAACGACATTGTTTACATACAGCTGCAACTTGGCCATTGGTCTTATTTGCACAGAATATGTTTTTCAGTTTAAACTTATACATATCCAAAGGACAATGTTAGCCAAGTTGCGTCTCATATCTCATTTTAAAAAAAAGTCTTCAAACTAAGGTCGAGATAGCTACTAAATTAACCGGTCACCGAATATCAACAATTGATATTATAATCACCTTACTTGGTTGATGGTGTCATGTAGATGTGCAGCAAGGTTTCGGAATATTGATTTTGCCCCTGGGGGTTCAAATGGGGGTCGAAATATGAAGTTTTTTTATGCAAAAAGCCTCGTCTTTCCTGAAATCCTCCTACTTTTTACACAGTAGCCTAATCATCTTTTGGGAGAGTTAAATATTTTAAAAATGAATTAGGTCAAACATCAACGTCAAGGGGTAAAAAGTCGTAGCATGCTGGGAAACATCCTGAATTCTTAAGAGTGATGTACATGTCAAATGTGAAAGTCATATCTCTTCTCAATCAAAAGTTATAAACAAATGCAACATTTTTGAAAAGAAAGTTAAGCTTCAAGGTCAAGGTCACTGAGTTAAAAGTCATGATTTATTCGGAAAGATCTTATCACAGGTAATAATATTCATGCATGTTTCCTATGAATGTCCTAACTTTTCTCTTTCAAAATGATGAATTTAAAACAATGTGATTTTTTGCAAGTAGGTCGAATTTCAAGGTCACGGGTAAAAAAATCATGCCATTGTCACAGGTAAATACTAATACTTGTTTAATATGAATGCCTTGTCTCTTCTCATTCAGTAGATATGACCGTGATCCCAAGGATAATTGTTTTGTGACAGATGGACAGTCTTACATACAAATGTACATATTTCTATGTTAATTGGTTAAAATTGGCCCAGTGGCTCTAGAGAAGAAGTTAAAAATGTAAAAGGTTTCCAGTTAAACAGATGGAAGACAATTGTAATGTGATAAGGAAACTAGAAAAGCTAAAATGAGCTAAAATCGTATGAATCAGTATTATGAAAGGGCTACCATGGTAACACAGTATTTGAAAAGCTTTTTAGTTTTTAACGACATTGTTTACATACAGCTGCAACTTGGCAATTGGTCTTATTTACACAGAATATGTTTTTCAGTTTAAACTTATACATATCCAAAGGACAATGTTAGCCAAGTTGCGTCTCATATCTAATTTTAAAAAAAATGTCTTCAAACTAAGGTCGAGATAGCTACTAAATTAACCGGTCACCGAGCATCAACGATTGATATTATAATCACCTTACTCATGTGACCTTCTGCTGTTCGATACGCTAACGCTTTCATGGATTATTCCATTGTATTTAAGTTTCTGTTATGACAGTATCTATCGTACTTCAAACTTACAGTTTGGACTATGGGAGATTTTTGCGCATTTCATTGGGTTTGAGGATAATATGTCTCTTATTTAACTTTATACTTTTCATGTTTTGAAAGAATTCTGGGGACAGTGTATTTAGTATGTTCTTGTATAAGCTTATGTTACCTCTGTATTATGGTCTGCAGGCGAGACATCTACCCAATCCCTAAACATTAGTATCATTTATTAATTGTGCACCATAAAATCAACATTATCTCTCTCTCGTCTCCATTTAAATTCGTAGTGCGATAAAAATCATATGTGTTAATGTTTACATTCCAAATCCATACGATTTAATGTCTCCGCCTATTTGCGAATACCTTAAATTCGAAAGTTGTCCCTTTTTTTTAGGAATTTTCGGAATCTAAGGCTTTTACATGTTCTTTTCAATTACATTGTCTGTAATCATAGAAATATGTATGACGAAAAATTGTAGAAATAAATATCAAAAGCATATGCTTGCACATTAATCATAGATTATTTTAGCGATATATTGTAATGTTAAGCTTAAAATGGCTAGCCGAAAAGGTTCCAAATGACGTACATGTACTTAAGTGCACTCAATCTTTATCATAAATAGGGCCTTCTTAATTCGAGGGTAGACAGACATGTATATTCATTATACCCGCATTTTTTAAAGAAAGTTCGGGTATATTGTTGTTACGCATGTCCATCCGTTCGTCTGTCTGTCACACTATTCTTTCTTGAACTCCTCCAATATTTTACACAGTAGCTATCTTCTTTTGGAAGATGGTTGGTGGTGTCATTTGGACGTGCAGTAAGGTTTCGGAATTTTGATTTTGCCCCGGAAGTCAAATGTTGGTTGAAAAATTACGTTTTTTTGTAAAAAGCCCCGTCTTTCCTGGACTTCTCCTACATTTTACATAGTAGCCTAATCATCTTAAGGGAATTGGTTGGTTAAGTCATGTAGATGTGAGTAAAATTTCGGAATATTGGTTTTGCCCCAGGGGGTCAAATGGGGGTCGAAAAAATAATATTTTTGTTAAAAAAAAAAAAAAAAGTCTTCCCTCAACTTCTCCTACATTTTACATAGTAGCCTTATCATCTTTTGGGAGAATTAAATAATTTGAAAATGAATTAGGGCAAACATCAACGTCAAGCGTTAAAAAATCAAAGCATACTGGGAAACATCTTGAATTCTAAAGAGTAATGTACATGTCAAATGTGAAAGTCATATCTCTTCTCAATCAAAAGTTATAAACAAATGCAACATTTTTGAAAATAAAGTTTAGCTTCAAGGTCAAGGTTATTCAGTTAAAAGTCATGATTTATTCGGAAAGATCTTATCACTGGTAGTAATATTTGTGCATGTATACTATGAATGCCCTAACTTTTCTCTTTCAAAATGATGAATTTAAAACAATGTGATTTTTTTTTGCAAGTAGATCAAATTTCAAGGTCACGGGTAAAAAAAAATCATGCCATTGTCACAGGTAAATACTATAAATGTTTAATATGAATTCCTTGTCTCATCTCATTCAATAGATATGACCGTGATTCCAAGGATATTTTTGTGACAGATGGACAGACTGACATACAAATGTACATAGTTCTATGTGAATTGGTTAAAATTGACCCAGTGGCTCTTGAGAAGAAGTTAAAATTGTTAAAGGTTTCCAGTTAAACAGATGGAAGATAGTTGTACAGTCTGATAAGGAAACCAGAAAAGCTCAAATGAGCTAAAAACGTAGGATTCACAAGTATTTGAAAAGGCTACCATGGTAACACAGTTTTTGAAAATCTTTTTCATGCAATTTTTTGAGAAGCTGAAAAGATATGACATGTATCCATTGTTGAAAAAACTGAACATTTCAGAAAACAATATGATTGAAAATAGTTACATGTAATCAGGATGTTAATCAAAGTATCCAAATAAATCTAGTAAGCTTTTATAGCTAATTCAACTGCAGAACTTAGCAATTTTAAGATGCACAACCTTTTCAACTCTTATAATAATAATATTTAAAATATATTTATTCATTTCTGATTCAAAGTAGAACAAGATATACGACCGTCATGTTTGTGTTTTATGTTTTTTAGTCATTTGTATGTTTGTTGTGAAAACATATCTCTCGGGAATTTTCCTCTCATGTGGAAACATGTACACCATCACTTAAAAATAATGAAGACAAGATTTGTTTGTGCAACGTATGGCAGCTTATGGCTAAGTTCCTCAAATGTATGTCAAACCCAAAGGTTAAGGTCAAGGGTAAAAATTGTTGGCTTCAAAAAAAAAGTCTTGTCACAAGGAATACACATGTGAAATAAGAAAGCCCTAGTACTTCCCGTTCTTAAGTTAAACTTAATTGCCAAGGTTAAAGTTTTTTTAAAGTGGTTCAAACCCTAGGGTCAAGGTCAAACCTATTTATACCTGTTAATAGTTCACAATGAATACACATGTTAAGCATGAACTCCCTAGCACCTACTGATCGAAATTTAGGCCAGAATTAAAGTCTGGTATTTTTCTAGTAAAAATGAGAAAATATCCAAGGTCTAGGTCAAGAGATCAAGAGGTAAATATTAGTGGTACCCAAATTAAAGGTCTTGTGACAAGGAATTAACCTATGAAATGTGAAAGCCATGTGTATAGCCCATCCCACTTAAAACTTATTGGCAAGGTTAAAGTTTCTGCGGACAAGCAGACAGACAAACATAATCTAAACACAAGAAACATATTATGCATATAGTCCAATTGGAAAAAATTCTACTATTTTGGAGTCACAATATCAATTGTAATTTCAGAGACAGAGAGTGACTAGGGAGATTGCCCCCCCCCCCTGGAATTTGCTTTGTTATTTAAATAAGACTATATACTGAAGCAAATAAAATGACTTTGGGCATCCTCTCCCTTTGAAAACATTGACCCCACAATTGTTTTATTTTGTTTATTTCTTTGCATATTTTTTTTCTTTGCTTGTCAGGAAATTCTGGGCTGGTTTTTTTTTTGACTGTGATGTGAAAATATAAATTCTGGATCTACACCATTAACTGGATGTCACATCGACAACGGGAGATAACTTCACAATGTGAAATTTGTCTACAGTGGCATGCGATGTTCTTTGACCCTTTTTGAACTTAAACCTAATCATTTGCATTTCTGTTTATTTTACCACAATCTGTACTTAAACTTGTACTTACCGACTGACATAGGTGTGTCAACTTCATGAAATATAATCCAATTATAACACAAATTGAATTATTTCAATAAACGCCACACACACCATGTTCTATCCCATTAGGCAAACCTTGACTGATTCCGTTGCCTAAATCATATGAAGTACGAATTGGCCGAGGTGTTTTATCTAAAAATATGATAATAGGTGACGCAAAACCAATGCAATGTAGAAATTTTCCAAAGGGTGTTTACATGTAAACATGTATAGTTCAAGAATAAACTTTTAATTACAAATGTTATTCATAACAAACAATGTTTTAACATAACTTTTCCATCTAGCCTTAATAAAAAAAAAAAAAGACGTACGTATCGTGATGGTGTGTGTGTGTCCGGGGTGTGATATGTAAATTTAAAAAGTTCCAATAAGGAGCAAAACATTCATAAAATTCTTATTCACATCATTATTTAAATTCTGTTTATTCAGACTGGTTATGAAATTAAGCATATCAAATACATACAAGAAAACATTGATGTAACCATCAATTGTCGCCCGGGAAATATACAAAGTAAACAATGAAAATAAGTCTTGATCATCAAACCGCTTCGATATGTGTGAAAAGGCATGCATCTAATTGATGGAGACGATAGTCGCAAATATTTTGAAAACTTTAAGTCGGATAAAAATCAAACAAAAACGATATTATTTTAAACTTGATCAATTCCTCAAGTAAATGTTGGCTGCACAAAATATAAATTGAAGTTAGACACATGCATCACCTATATTGAAAAATGTATTTATTTTCAATTTTAGAATATAAAACATGAACTGTGCTGAGTACGTTTTCATGCGAGAAGTAAAATTCGATGTTCTAAAAAAAAACTTTTTATATTAAATATGAAAATAATATATATTTTTACAGATTCACTTTATGGAAGTAATTATATTCTGTATCTCGTAATTTATAAAGGGAAAGAACATTCTGATTAACAATATTTCAATGTTTAGAAAACCTTTAATTCTAAATAACTATACTCCCACCCCAATCCCCACACACCAACATTTAAACATATGTATTGAGCAGCCCGGTCCTCCGGGCTGCAATAAGAGGCTCTGAGTCATAGGTCACATGGTCACAGCTAGGGTCGGAGAATTTTATACTCAATTTGTCAAATACATGCATCTGTAAATTATAGAATCATTTTGACTTTTTCCTTGGAAAGTCCAATATGTTGGGGGGGGGGGGGCATTTAGAGGCAGGTATTAGTGCAGGTATTACTGTCTCTTGAAAGCATCTAATTAAAATTTTCAGCCATTTAAACGCTTCATGATTTCTTTTAATGTATGTGAGTATCATGATATTAATTTCATGATACATTTTTTTTCCTGAAGAAAGATAATTGTGACAAGCTGAATTCATTGAAAAGCTTAATCCATTAAAATATTTTTTAAAATATAATAACGCATTGTATCTATATTATTAGCTATGTTCTAATTTTATACTGCATTCCGGAATGTTTTTCTAAAAACAATTCAATTACGATTAATTATAATTTGAAGTTTAACAATCACAAATAGTGAGTTAAAACATTAATTTTTTTAATTAAGATTGCAATAAAAAATGGAGTTTGCTACATGTTTGAACACTGCACTGAAAAAAATATATTAATACATATTTTGTCATTGTTTTATTCTTACAATAATGTTCTCGTTATTGCAGATTCAAGTTGTTTAGAAATAAACAAAAACTTTGGGTGCTTTCAAGCAGATTCAAATTGTTATGGTATGGACGGAAAGGATATCAGCGACATTGAGGTGTAAGTTATATACCCGTATACGTACATACATGTATATAATTTCAAGACATTTTGGTTGCAGAGTTACTCAGTATTATAAATCATGTCTGAAAATTTTTCAGAAATCTTATGAAAAATTCCATGAAACTGAAACAGGTTCACAAGAAATATTGAAAAAAAAATAAATAAATGATCCGTTCAATAGAAAAGGGACTCCATAACGTACCGATTACCTTTTTTTTTCAATATATTATAATGGCGTACACAGAAAAATAATCAGAGCTACGTTATATTATTCAGATTTTCTGAGTATAAGTAATCAAAGATTTAGAAAATATTAAATTATCGTTAAATCACAAAGTATGCATAGAACATGTTCAGTGTATATATAGTAATGCATCATGAACAATTGTTCATGTGCATGATAATGAGAATATCTTGAATAGTTTCTTTCAAATTGAAATTGAAATTCTAACGCAGCTGACTGCCTCTCTCTCATATATATAAGAATTTAGGCTGGATAAAAATAATGAATTTCTGAGCTAAAATATTAATTTTAGAAAAAAAGTAAAGGCAGAGTAACAAGAATGGCTTAAGTCCAAAAATTTTTATCGCTGTTGGATATATTTCTCATTAATATGTGTGAGGAAATGTGGTTTGAAAAGAATATCTTTAATAATTTTTTATAACCGTTCTAAACACTTTTTTTTTTAAATGAGGTCAAGGTCAAAAGAAATGCCTTAGTCCGAAAATGTTGATGGAGTTGAATATCTCATATATTAGTTTCACTACATGAAGTTTGATATACAGTATAATATTTACATTTACCAATATTTTCCTTAGATGAAACTATTGAAGAGAAAATATGTTTAATTCTATATGAACTTCACCTGGGGTTCAAAGGTCATAGCGAGACTGAATAGCACGGCCAGATATTATCTTGTTAACATATATTATATACTAAGTTAAATGCGATGAAAAAGATAAAATAACTGAAACATAAATATATTTTTCTTTCAATAAATGTTCAATAGACTTTCCTTGGTTGTGAAGAATGTTTGAAATACTATAATTAATCTAAAATCGCGTTCACCCTTTTAACCAGAAATTCCTATGAGGTCAGTCGTTATGTAAACTAAAACAGGAGATTTCACCGGTTTTGACTTTAAATATATTAAGGAGGAATGCCACACCAACTTTTTATTTTATAGATCTCTGAGTCATCCTTTTAAAACAATGGTTTCAGCATTGAAAGGCCGACATAAGCTCTTATTTATTTTACATGAATTTTTTGGTATTTTTTCTAAGAAAACGAAAAAATTCATTACATCCAAATTAAATGCTTTCTTGTAAAATTTTTGCTGTAAATGAATGCATCACATGAATACCTAATAAAATATGTTAAGAAAGTCTGGTTATACTTTTAAATTCACAAATAATGTGTTTTATTTTCATAAATAATTTTTTATAAAAAAAATTAAAAAGTCTAACCAGACTTTCTTTACATATTTTATAAGGTATTCATGTGATGCATTCATTTACAGCAAAATTTTTACAAGAGAGCGCTTAATTTGGATGTAATGAATTTTTTTCGTTTTCTTTGAAAAAATACAAAAAAAAATCATATAAAATAATTAAGAGCTAATGTCGGCCTTTCAATGCTGAAACCATTGTTTAAAAAGGATGACTCAAAGATCTATAAAATAAAAAAAATGGTGTGGCATTCTACCTTAAGGACCCATAATAAAGTAAGATTAGTTCTCAGTATGGATCAGTATGGATCATTGTTTTAACATTATAAGCAAAGATTTTCTCATGTGGACTGCTGAATATATTTGTAAATATTCAAATGTTGGAGCTAGACAAATTTTCAAGACCAAACGGCTTCTAGGTCGCTGTGCGTTATATATATATATATATATATATATATATATACAACATAACAATACGGTGACCAGTTCGTGTAATAAATCCAGTTTACATTGTTACTCAAAATTAATGTATCTCAAATGCAAATATAAGTCATAAACAACAATGTTAAAAAGTAAACTTAAAAAAAAAAATTAACTTAGTTAATACTTAATCAAATCTACTGAGAAGCCCATCGGGCTTTACAGGATTTGATCATGTGATCAACTTAGTGCATTTCCTAGTGATATTTTAAATTATCATTGTCGTTTATTTCTTAATAAATGGTTTATTTAAAACTGAGCTAAACATCAGATTAAAATAACTGTTGTCATAGTCAAAGAAAAAAATAGGCAATATTAAAAAAAGTTAAAATGCTAACACCATTATGTACATGTATAAGCGAATGAAATTTGACAACAATATCCTGAAAGTTTTGTAAAACTGAGAAAAATACTTACCCGTATATGAAAAATTGCAGTCAATGTCAAACGAAAGGTCATAGTCAAAAGACTTATATGCAACTGTTATTCACAATATGCTTCAATAAACCAAGTTTAATATAAAACGTCTTGAATGGTTTCTTTGAAGCCGAGATTTAAAATGAGCTAAACCCAATGCTCGATGAAAGGACAGAAAAAAGGGACATAAGGACGGAATGACCAAAGATGGACACGACAAACACTATATCCACCGGTCATATTCATGGTGGGGCATAAATATGACGTTCCGAATGACGATTTATCCAACTCAAAAACAGTTGAAAAATGTTTCGAATTTTAGACCTTTTTAAATTACTCGAAAACATCTTCTTGTTTAAACACGAATACATGGAGTGTAGTTCTTATGCTTTTACCTTACACGCTATATTTTCATAACACCACACGAGCATTATGCATTAGTTGTCCTAACTATTTCAATACTATATTTTTAACTTTTAAAGGAGATGCATTTTAAAATCATTTCATGATCAGATAAAACTTAATTTACTTTAAGAAGTGTTGATTTTTTTCATACAGTAAAAAAAATTGTTTTTGGTCACATAAAACTAAGTCCCAAGATTTAAAAAAAAATATTGATAAAATATGCTTTCGGGCTAGTTTTGCTACAGATCAACAACAAAGAATGGCTTTTGCATTGGGAATTCTTTTCCCCTAACAAGGTTGTTTGCTCCTTGTTTGTGACTTCACAATGTAGAAATGACGTCACTATGTATGTCACTTGTGACGAAAAATGGTTGTTTCAGTCGTACTCGTTCAACAAACGACTGTAAAGTTTATGGTATATCTTAGAAATCCCTTTAAAGTAGCGTATAATAATTTTACACAATTTATAAAGACAAATGACTTCCTATAAATTCAATGAATGATTGGATTGATTGTTTTAGTGAAGGAAGGCAGATGGTTAAATATGATACTTGTTATATTGCCCAGTGAGAGGGATTTTGAAAAGAGATGTGTTTTTAATTAAGCAATTTGTTATCAAAGACCTCCAATTTACATTTTGAAAAATAGTTGATTATTTCAACAATAATATAATTATCAAATACCTAAGATATCGTTTACTTTAGATTTTAAACATGTTAGATATTTTGAAAAGGAGGCACTCATTCTCTGTTCACCTTGAACAAACGTCTCTCCCAAGAGAGAAGATTTAGTTTTTGATGATCGCCATGCTTATTTTTGGAAAAGATAGTCTTATCCACCCTTTCTGTTGCCGAGATTTGACCATTTCTATTAAAAGAACGGTTCTTGTTATAAAAATCAACTTACATGGAAAGAAATATAAAACTCAGAAAAATCTTTCAGCTTTTGTGACAGAACGCTACGGAGGGGGTCACGTGACCGCCTGTATCACGTGATTTGCGCATGAGCAGAACGGTGACAGATGTGCATTGATATTGGAGAGGACTAATTTAAAATATAATCAACAATGAAACCAAATAGTGTATCTTTTTAGAAGCTATTCAATTAGTTTGCGAACTTTTTGATCGCCCCTCGTAAGTCAGGAACACCAATTTTGTATAGTAATGCATTCGTGGGTAAAATTCTATGTACAATTCTTTAGTAGAACCATCTTCACTGTATATCATATGTTATGTTTTTTCCCACCATATATCATCAATATTTAGGTCTAATTTATTCTCTCATTTAATTTCACAATTTGGGATTTTTCTTTTGTATTTCTGACTTGTAAAAATATCATAGAAATTTCTAACACTTGAATATGCCAATAAAGAAATTGATTCGGTTAATACATGTATAAGTAATATTCTTAATCACAAAAGGGTCCAGTCTTGTATTCCCCCATATTTCAAGTTAAAGACTACACCTTGTATTTCCTACAAATATACATTGCTTCCAAACTTTTCAATAAAAAAAAATACTTTACATCGCCTGTATATTGAGTATTTAAAACATAACCCTCCATCGTGTTTATGTTCTTCTATAAGTATAGTCGTGCTAGACACGTTATTACAAGTGACGTAAATATAATTGATAATCAGTACCTTAGATCATTTATTTTAAAAGGTTCTTAATATCGGGAACCCTGATCCTTCAACTGGCTTAGAATTTCATAATTATACCCGCACTTTCTAAAGAAAGTTCGGGTATATTGTTACTCATGTCCGTCCGTCAATCTGTCACACTTTTCTTCCCTGAACTACTCCTACATTTTACACAGTAGCTTAATCATCTTTCTTTTGGGAGATGGTTGGTGGTGTCATGTAGATGTGCAGTAATGTTTCAGAATTTTGATTTTGCCCTGGGGGGTCAAATGGGGGTCGAAAAATGATGTTTTTTTTATGCTAAAAGCCCTGTCTTCCCTGAACTCCTTCTACATTTTACTGAGCAGCGTAATCATCTTTTGGGAAATGGTTTGTTGTGTAATGTAAATGTGCAGCAAGGTTTCGGAATTTTGATTTTACCCGGGGGGGTCAAATGGGGGTCGCAAAATGACTTTTTTATGCAAAAAGCCCCGTCTCCACTGAACTCCTCTTATATTTGACTTGGTAGCCTAATCATCTTTTAAGAGATGTTTGGTGGTGTCATGTAGATGTGCAGTAAGGTTTTGGAATGTTGATTTTGCCCGGGGGGTCAAATGGGGGTCGAAAAA